GAAAAATTTCTTCAAAAAGCATCCCTGCCACAGGAAAACAATAAAATATAATAAAAACGTTGTTTCCAACCGGCAGCCAAATTCAGTCTGGGACAATCTGTGGGAAGATGCTTTCAATGTCGCCTTCTGGAGAGCGTCCAGCGCTGGCCTTTGGCAGCAGCACCTACTTCTCTGAGGGTTGAGAAGGGAAGTGACATCCGTGTTTCTTAAAATCATCTTTGATTCTTTCACACCCGTTTTGCAGAAGGCGTGATTAAGGAACGCTTGCTGCCAAGTCAACTAAATAAATATGCATTTCAAATACTTGCATTATGAAAACTCTTCGGGTTTTTTCCCTACGGCTGGATGGATAACGGGGCAGAAGCAATAAAGCACCTTTTACTAGCATTCTAAAATTAGGCAAAGGCAAGTGGCAAAAAGACAAGCCTACCTTACTGATGGCAAAATATTTCAGGACGTTGTCTAATAAGACGACTTTAGAGGATACAGTAAAATGGAAACACCAAAAAAAAAAACCTACGTAGCTTGCTTCATGAACTTCTAGAATTGAGTATTTGCATTTTTATTCAGTATCACACATCCCTTACCATCTTCATTCAGGAACAATTTGTTGAATCTTAATCCACTGGGCTCTTTACCGACGTATCTGTGCACGTACTCGGTGCCGAGATCATTAACGGCGATAGCGTATTTCAAAGGCTTGACACAGGACTGAAGACAAAACGGAACTTTGGTATCGCCAACGGAATGCCTGGGAAAAACACAGAGAGGTCTGAAATTTCCTGTTTTGCCAGCTGTGGCAAGTAGAGCGCTAAATGCCTCATCCATCCTTCAACATACCAGGGCTATTAACAAAAAAAGCCTGTTATTACTAAGCCTCATTTTAAAGAACATGATGAAAAAAGATTTAAAGGTTTTAACGATCACCTCCACAAGCTAAGCATAATGACGTCAGCTGCTGGTGACAAGTGAAGATGTAACAAGATAACAGCAAGTTCAGAAATGCCTTTGTACCAGAGCAAAAAAAAAATATTAATAATAAAAGAAATCTACTGTCACACTCACTCTACTCAAGTACAAACCACATTCTCAGCAGGGTACAGCTAACCTGAACATACACGCAGTTATAGCTATATAGAAAAAGACAGCATCTAATGCTCTTTTGGAGGGCAATAATTAAAGAGCTGTACTTCCATCCCCTTTGGGAATGGCACTGGCATTAGATTACAATCATTAAATGCCACCTTTTGCAAAGTTAACTTTCAACATCTAAGCCAGACTGCAGCAAAGCCTGACTCATACGAGCAGCATATGCTGCATTCCGAGCAAAAGGCTACCGCTCATCTGCTGGCAAAATCAGCAGCAGAGGATGGGAGGAGGTTTCAGAGAGACTCACAAAACCATTTTGGCATTACAAAACTGAGCGTTACACAACACCAGGCATCACACGAAAACCTTCCATCGGCGCGTGCCATATATCCAAACCGCAGCGGAACGCCGATTGAAAATACTCCCAAGTGAGAACATTTCCACTTTTAAAGCTGTTTTACTAGGGATAAAACGTAGTTCAGACACTTAACCTGAAAAATACTTCAGCTCGTTCGTACAGCTCTACAGATTATAGAGCCTATGGCTAATAAGAAACAAAGGTGAACACAGAATATTTACTGTTACTTATTATGATTACTAACAGCTCTGCTCAGCTACACCTTAACATCTATTCTCATAACTCTGCTACACCAAGTTACTAATAAAGAGAAAAAAAATATTAATTAACATCACTTTAGCTCTATCAAAGACCTACATACAACCTCACAGGAGAAAGTTTAATAAACCTGAAAAGCAAAATTGCATTAAGTTCTCGCCAGTTTCCACATCTTCAGCTCCTTTTTAGAGGATATGGATCCGAATTTTTCAACGAGATATGGTGTTCATGCAATAATGCTATGGTAAGAACATTAAGAGTTAGTTCCCTTTCTGCGTTATAAGTGCATTGTGACCTGCAGAGAAAAAGTAATACAGCTTGAGGCACGAGCACGAGTAAAGAAAGCTCTCCAGCTTCCGAACAGTAATACTACGTGAGCATTGTGTCTGTCCTCTCCTTTCTTTGGCAATCAGCAAAGATACCCACAGCTTCAGTATTGTGTTTGGATCACGCGTGTAATATAATCCAGCTCTAAATACAGAATTTACAAGCACTCTTTAAACGGTATTTTATGATAGCTGCAAAATAACTAAGCTTAAACAGAGAAGCTGAAAAATATTAAAAAAGACGACCAAGTGGATTTTAATTCTTAAACAACTCCAATATTCTTTTTTTTCCCCCAATTAAACCATGAGGTATCATGAAGTATTGTATGTACTGGATTAAATAATTGAAATAGCAAAATCTAAGAGTTCGGATATACCTCTGTCCATCCACTGTGCAAAGTGACACACCCCACAAATCAGGACTGAACTTGGCCAGTTGTGGGATATAGTCAGCAACCTATCACGACACAAAATAAAAAGAGAGACATTACAACAACCAAAATATTTAACTACATGCTAATACATAATAATTAAAAATAAAAGCCAATGTAAAGGATATACGAGGTAGAGCCGAATTATTCCACTAACAATCACCTAGTATACCTAAAGCTTCATTGCAAATTATTATATTCACTAGGTGACTCTCAAATAAAACTTTTTTTCAAAGTACAAACTTTAGCACATTCTAAGAGAAATCTTTGTGCTGCGTTACGGCACGTTCTGCATTTTCAAATCATACAAAACTTCATATAAAACAAAGTTCGGGGTTTGTCAATTAAATTACTGAAAGCACTAGAATAAACTTTAATTACTAACATAGGTAGGGTGTTGGCAATTATTTCTGTCACACAACCCATCCAGCTGTGCAGAGCAGCATAATTCTTTTTATAAACTAAGTTTAGTCTGACAAATTATATAGTAATTTTATCGTTTACGTAAAATAAAGAACAACACACTCCGGTCTCAAAACTGTGAAAGACCATTAGAAGTGTTGAGCTGCAGACATAGCTGAGCTTCCAAAACTAGTTTATCAAGCCATCAGTTTAACATTTTGCTAAAAATGTTAAGAAAAATGCTACTTAAAGAATTTACAAACAGGTTACCTTTCCTCCAGATTGTTTTTTTGCACTTTCATAGAGCTCGTCAATATGGGAAGTGAAGGACATAAAATCTGGAATGACAAACTTCCTCCTGAAAGCTTGAGTAAGCAACACAATATTACTCTGTACACACCTGCAAAAGGTTAGAAAAGTTTATTAGTATTTTGACAAAACACTGTTAAAAAATTGTGAAGGAACAATTACCTGCTATTTAAATAAGGACTGTCAGTCTTTTCAAGTTCTATGTCTACAAGAACAGGTCTTTACAAGAAAGATTTTTCAATTTTCCACTTTTTAAGTTTTATTGTAAATATGTGAGTTTTGTGTTGTAAATATGTAAGTTTTGCATGTAAATATGTAAGTTTTGCATGTAAATATTTTTTTAAAATATTTACAATTGCTTCACTGCATTCACATTTATGCCTTTTTACTTAAACCTCTTCTTTGATGTTTAAATCACGAGGTTGTACTGTAAGGGGCTATCAGTTTGCCTTCAAGTAGCATCTAAACCCGCAAAGGGGATCTGCTCTACCCATTTCTTAGGATCAAGGCACATGAAGGTCACCCAACCCAGCCCTTGTCTGAAGAAGCACTGACTGCAGGGGTAGGTGGGACTTCGAGCTTCAGGGTTGGGTTCTCTTGCTTCCAGGTGGTCTCGCCGCGAACCAAGCGAGAACGCTGCCAATGGGGATGAATTTGAGAAGGATTTGGGTGTGTTGGTGGATGATAAGATCAACATGAGCCAACAGTGTGCACTTGCAGCCCAGAAAGCCAACCCGGTCCTGGGCTGCATCCAGAGCTGTGTGAGCAGCAGGGCAAGAGAGGGGATTCTGCCCCTCTGCTCTGCCCTTGCGAGACCCCACCTGGAATATTGTGGCCAGCTCTGGGAGCCCCAACACAAGAAAGATGTGGAGCTCCATCCCTGGAAGCGCTGAAGGCCAGGCTGGATGGAGCCTTGAGCAACCTGATCTAGTGGGAGATGTCCCTGCCATGGCGGATGGTTGGAACTGGATGATCTTTGAGGTGCCTTCCAACCCAAATCATTCCACGATTCTAATAAGAATCATTCTATGATTCTAATAAGAGCAAAACCCTGTGGAAGTACTCGGCAACATCTTCTAAGCTAAGCACAAGTGAACAGCGGGCAGTCATGCAAGCCTCTTGCTTCCAGTTACTGAATCTTCAGAAACTGCCTTTTCACCCAGAACACGGTTACGTTACTGCCCACGCCCTCTGAACACCAGCCCATCTGGTGCACTATAAAAAAACCAATGAGGTGGAAAGGGAAGGACTTATCTAGGAGAAACAGAAGAAGGGAAGGATCAAAAAGGCAAGCTGAGACACGCTGCTCAAAGCCACATGGGGCGGCAATAGGGAGCCATCAGCATGTCAGTCAAAATGTGACCTGATAAAGGGGATTCGCAGCCCGGCCCCAGCACAAGGAGGAGAAAAAGAGGTTTAGTTCCGTTAACGCGTCCCTACCACGCTTCCTGGCAGCCTTGACAGGAGCAGAAACACCCTGTTAATGCAGGCAAAGGGAAAGCTGAGAACATCTAGGCCCATACTGCAAAGGGGAACATAAACCTTCTGATGGAGACTTACTCAGAAAAGTAAAAAATTAGGTGGACAATTTATTCACTTGAAATAGAAAATTCCAATAATTCTTATTAATAAAGCCATTATCTGTTCAAAACGAAGACAACTAGTGAACAAACGGAATTATCTTCCCTTTGAATCCCCCTCTTTTTTTTTTTTTAAAGCCTTTGTGCTCAGGAGACTTTATCCCAAATTCAACTGACAGCCATCTCAAATGCTGGCAGGCACTGCGCTCTGAGAGTGACAGAGAAACAGTAGAGAAGTTTCTGTTGTACACACTGACCTCCTCAGAATCATTCTGTCTGTAACACGCTTCTTTGTTAGTCTATGTTAAAATCATGACCAAGTTGGTTTTGTCACGATTTGTCAGGCTTATCAGCTCCTTTTTCTACGCACCCTTTAAAAAAATCCCATTTGCCTTTGTTCCCCTCAGCCTTCAGTTACAGTTACCCATTACGGGTGCAGCAACCCCTTTCCAAGAGTAATTAATAACATTTGTGGCAGCTATGAGTGCAGAAGGAATAAGAACAATAAAGTAGGTTGAAGCTTCAGATGCATTTCTGCATCGTCTGTACCATCTGGACACTCTTATAAGGAAACCAAGAAAAAAAGCAAAAAAAAAAACCAAACCACAAAACACTTGAGCCCAAACCTCTTGGCAAGCCTAGGATGCTCACTTGAATAATGCAATAATTTTAAGCTAGATATTGAAACTCAGTGCAGAAACAGCTCTGCTGGTTAAGGACATTTCCTATTTCTGCAAGGCGCTGCTGCTCCCAGACTTCTGCCAAGGTCACTGTCTGGGTATTTATCCGAGCAAATCATATGAATTCACAGACTAAATTAAATATGGGGGTCTAATTAACCTTAGACAGGTTTGGGGAACAATTATCCCACTGACAACCCAACAGGGGGCTTAGCAAGCTCTAATTAATGGGGCAGTAACCTTTTCAGAGGGCACGAGCCTTGCCAGTCTCCAATCTGCTGACACCTCCTCTCCAGTAGTTTCTAACAGGTTTCTGTTCCAAGTAACCCTTCAGAGATAAACGGTCTCAGGCTCGGGAGAAGCGGAGCAGCAGGAGAAGATCACAGGCAGGAATTCAGGTGAATGAATATATCGATAAATAAAAATCTCTCTACAGTTAAATTTTACAAACAACTTAGTTCTTAATTCCCACACGCTTTAGTGGGGTTCGAAATAGGCGCACTAAAATCCTCCCACCTCAAAGTCTTCCAGTTCTCCAAAACCTATAATCTCACCCTAAAAAAAAAAATTAAAAATCTTACTTCCCAAATCCCAATCCAAGCATTTCTTCTCCCAGTTGAAAACATGTCTTTTCAAACTATAAACCCTCCCTGACACATTTGGATTAGGAAGATTAGGATGTAACTCTTACAATCTATAGAAACTTTCAGTACCTTGTAGAACCCAAAAGTAACAGCCTGGGATTTTTTTGGAAATTGAATAACTGGTCTCTAGCATGAAGTTAGGATCACTTTGTTTCCTTCATCGTACAACGTGTAAAAAAGAATGGATAAATGTAATAAGTTCTGGCTGGGATTGGTAAAAACAGTCTAAATTCCCATCAACTTTGAAGAACTGTTCAGCCATCTATTTAATTGCCGCCTTTTTTTCAAAAAGCTAGAGTATAAGCATTACAGAAAGGAATGCGAAACTTCATTTCCAATCAGCAAGACCAGGTCTGTAAAAGTGTTTGAAACGTTTGGACATTTTAGGGGGGTTAAAAAAAAAGTGAGATTATTCTGACAAAATAAGTTATTAATATAACACAGCAGAAGTCTTTCACATTTTCCATTAAAATCTTTCTAACTGCTCAAATAGCGTGAAAAGATTTATGAATACCTAGGTTAAACATATCTAAACTCAAAGCTTTCTGACTCTAAGTCAGTTCTTCCGAAAAAAAAAATGATTTTAAACCTCAGAGTTTAACTGCTGCTCAGTAGCTACGACCTCATCCAAGCGCGCACCACTTTCAAAATAACTCTGGTCATCTCACGCCCTTTCATCCCCTTCTGCCCCATCCACTGACCAAAAATATTGCTACTTATGAAACGGCACTTTTTCCAAATCTTCCAATTTTTTTGGTCAGGACCAAGCTGTGAGTTAAAGGCAAGGCTAAGAGAAGCAGGAGGATTTCTCCCAGAGACTGTCAGAAATTATCCTAAAAATTAGGTAAATTTTCTAAAAATTAGATCTAAAAAAAAAAATGGGATGTGTCAAAACGCGCACACTTCACGAGGCTGCGTCGCCTAAGTTTCACCTAACAATAGCTAGATGGAATTACTCTGACTTTATTAACTAGTATCACAGCTAGGGTACCAAAAGAAAAAAAGAAAATATTCACACAGCAGGCTGTGCTGCTTTCAGCCAGCAGGCTGTGCTCAGGGGGGTATCCAGCAGCTCTGGATTCAAATTCACCTTAACTCAGAGTTTACTACCACGAACAAGCCTTCTGGTATAAACGTAACGCAGAACAGCAAAAGTTTCCTCTCCAAGGCAACCAGACACCCGGGAAGTTTTCCGACTCTGTAAGAGTTTTTACCGTGCTGACAAATAACCAGTGAAGACCCTGTCTTCAACTTAAACACAGGAATAAAGTCAGTCCCTGTTGTAACTTTAAGAAGCATCCCACGTTTGATTAAGGTGTTTGTTTTGGTTTGTTCTTTTGTCACACACACAGATGTTCATTTTTTCCTCTGCACCTCTAAAAATGTTTATATATTAAAAATTTATATAT